GGATAAAGTTATTCTAAAGTGAGGGCAATGTTGTAAAAAAAAATATATAAATTATTTAATAATTAAGCGGTTAATTAGCTTTTTCCGTATGGAACTGGAAACCAAACATTTCTTGAGTATTTAATCAAAATATACTTCATTATATAAATATTTGTTAAATCGTACTGAAAAATGAATGTGTTTGAAGGTTATTCCGTCTAGATAAAGTTCAAACTCTCTAGATTTGATATGCTACGAATTAAATATAATAACTGAATAAGACAGAACAGAAAACATGTGTTTGAACACAAATGTTTGTGTTCGCACGTAAGAACAACATCTTTAGCGTAACAAAAGGAAAATAACTTAAAATTTTATCCCATGTGCCAGTACTCTTTCTTTGTGTAAAAAAAACATCAACTGAGATTGATAACGATTCAATTAAATAGCTAGCTAGGAATTATAGGTACATGTCGAAGAGTTGTTACGGATTTAAATGGTAACACCATGAAGTTAATGTCCGTTTGAGATGTCGCACATCATAACAATTCACTTTAGGGATGGGCGAGTAAAAAAATATATCGATATATAGTACTTTTTCGCATGATTATTTATTTTCAAAACATTCAAAATTAGTAAAATAGAATAGACCTGAAGAAAATTGTTGAAAAGAGTTTTAAAGTTAACAATGCGTGAGGAGCATGAAAAGAGTATCTAGTACCATTAAACATGAAATCAAAGTTGCGTCAAAAATATATCGAAATTGACACGAATTCGAATATCGATATATCGCGATAAAAAAATATCGATAATTGTATAGAAAAATATCGTTTTTTTATATATCGATCTTTTTTGCCCATGCCTAATTCACTTTCATTTCAATATTGAAATACGAAAAGTAGATTTGCACTTACGGTGAGAAAAATAGTTAACCGTATTATATGAACCGTACTCGTGTTGATGTCATTTTTCTCATAGTTCGAGCAACAGTTTTCTGTTTGTTTGGTCAGCCGTGAAAGCTGATCTTAATTGAAACGTCAGCTTAATGTCAAGGTGGGTCTGATTTGTTTGTTTAGGACCAAGGGTGCCGATCGGTAGGGTTATTTGATAGGAAAATTGTCGATTTTGCATTGGCATTTCTATATTTCTGAACGAAATCTTTTTCGGATCGTAGGATTGTTGGATTCTATTGAATGTTAATATAAACACTTCAGCTTGGCACTTAGACGGTACGTAGTGATTTTCCCTTTCAAACGAGCCTTGAACATTCTCGTTTCCTATGTGTTTACGCGCAATTAAAACATATGCATTACAAATATATGTAGATACATCGGTTTTGTATAGTTTTAACCGTTTTATAGCCACTCTGGTAATATACAGCCATTACCATGTTGGGTGGATGGACAGGGTTAAATTAGGCGCATGGATTTAGGAGAGTCGTAGAGTATTATTAGTAAAGTAAAGTAACAGCCTGTGTATGTGCCAATGCCTATGATATCCCAATGGGCAAAGGACTTCTCTATACAGAGGGTTTTAGGGTATAGTCCACTTTGTGAATCTGCAGTCCATTGGCGGACTTTATTATTAGCGGAAAACAAAAAACATAAATTCAAAAACTAGTCAATGGAATTACTTTATATTCCTGCACAATATAGCTGGACTGGAGAGTGTTTTTAGATAATGATTATTCCGAAGCTCCAACGAAAACGAATAAAAAGCCATAGCGAGGAGGGGATCAGCCAGAAGTATATAAAATGTCAGCTGCCCAAGCCATCCCTATTTTCCTAATAGCCTTTTATTTGGTTGCATCAAGGATCTAGTTCTTTTACAAATTAAATATTAATAAAAACACTATTAAGTTTCTACTTAGTTAAAACTACATAAAGTAAACAAAAAGTAAAGTATCAGCCTATAAGAGGCAAAGGCCTCCTCTGTACAGAGGGTATCAGGGCATAGTCCAGCACGCGGCCCCCCTGTGGATTGGCGGACTTCACATACCTTCGATGTTTCTTCTCTTCTCAAGATGTTTTTTTCACCGCTGAGCACGTGATAATTAGGCACTTAAACAATTTCATTGGTGCCGGCACCAGGGATTGAACTCGGGTTGCTCGAAGATATTGAATGATTCATGATTTCTTCATGATTCACCTGTAATGACCATTAACAAAAATGGAGCGATAAATGTTTGTTGCATATATCCGAGAGTCTAATAGTCTAGTCTTAATCTAAGGCTTTTGAATCAACGCTATATGACAATCATACTCAAAATGAAGAAAAGGTAAAGAAAGGTGCGCTAAGAATTTTTGAACTCAGCTGTGTGCCAATATAGATAACGTTTTTTAGACCCAATGATTTTAATATTTCCCGCGGAGAAATTCTCATGAGATTCAATAATTTATCATTCAAACATGCCAAAAGGTGAAAGGAATTCATAATTTTTTATAATAAATTATAAATCCTTGGGGTAAATTAATTCTAACGATACTGTCTGGCCGACCTCTCCATGATTCACTTTGATAATGCAATAAAGAGAATTTTTAACACAATATTCACTAAGACACAATAGAGCCGATATTATTCTTAGTCCAACAATAGAGAGCATCTTAAGAAAGTCTAAAGAATCTATTATCTTCGTCCTTCTTCATAAGGATGAAAATCAATTGTTATAGTTACATGAATGTATCTCGTAAAGTAACCAGGTTTTAAACGAGATCTTCTATTATCTATTAACTGTTGTTTTCGCATTCATATTCGTATAGTATTAAAGATTCATCGCATAACCTATAGACTATGCAAAACCCGTGAAAAAAAAAAATGTACAATTTATAACACCTATAAAATAGTTAGCGAGTTAGGAAATATAATACAGACACAAAAGACATCATTATTTCTGTACAAGCGTTTTTTCTAAAGTATGTACATTCTGTCTATACGAAAGCATCAACTGTCGCAGGCAGTGCAAAGGACGCTTCTAAAAGAAACTTCTTTCGTGAAAAATATACTGTAACACAAACAGTTTAAAAAAATACCAGCTTTTCCCAACATAAGGAAAGAATAATATACATTTGTTTGATGTTGCCACAATAAGTATAGTTTTTTCAACTGTTTCCACTTTCACATCGGTTTGAAGAATTATTTTGATACGAGTATAAATTATCAATGTTTTTGGAGCCCTATGGCATTTTCCGTGACGATGGCAAGAAACCCGACGGATTGACTTTGATCCCTTGGGACAGAGGCAAAGTCCTCGTTTATGATGTACTTATGTAGACAATTTGATGTGTCTCATCTAGGGGGTTATTCGGTCAGGCCCGTGGCGGCATTAGGGCAGTTGAAGTGAGTGGCGCAAATGAGTCTCTTTTTTCAGATCACATAATCGACCTTATGACAAAAATACATATTTGCTGATGAAACTTTGGGTCCTGCAAATAAACATTTCTTAAAAAGTTTACGTCCTAGACTTATCACGCTGTCAAGGGGGCTGATATTTTCTCGGTCAAAGGTAAAGCCACCATCCACAATGAAATAGGTTTATTAAATATAATAATAATATAGCCGTGATAGCTCAGTGTCCGGGCGCTCGCCTGTTAATTCAATATACTCGAGCAACCTGAGTTCGATCCCCGGTGCCGGCACCAATGAAGTTTTTAACTTTAAGTGCTGACTTATCACGTGCTCCGCGGTGAAGGAAAACATCGTGAGGAAACCTGCATATTTTCGAAATAATAACAAAAAAATATATATATTTCGAAAATATGTGAAGTCCGCCAATCCGCAGTGGGGCCGCGTGGTGGACTGTGCCCTGATACCCTTTGTATAGAGAAGGCCTTTGGCCAGCAGTGGGACATGTATAGGCTGTTACTTTATGTAAGGCAAATATGAAATATTAAATATTGGCATAAAAAAATCACCAAGAGCCTTATTACTCAATGTACCAGGGTAGCAAGGCACGAGACAACATACTAGAGAAATTCTAGTACAATTCCGTTGCCGCCAATGAAATTTTGAATTACAAATTAATTGGTGGTTCACCACATGCTTGGTGGCGAAAGAAAAATCTTAGGGATCTGCGTATGAAATAAAGAAATATTTTGATATGTGAAATCTACCAATCCACTGCGGGGTCACGTGCTGAACTATGGCCTTTTACCCTTTGTCTGAAGGTCTTTATTTAATTAATTAATTTTACGCAGGAAAAGTATTTGTTGTGAGTTGTGACCCATAGATAATTGTTCCGGATCTCGTTAAAAAAATTGGAATTTTTTAACACATTGAACAGTCTAATACCGAAACGTAATTGCAGGAGATTGCATTCCACCACAATTTTAATCATTAATTTTATAACTTCTGGGATTCCCTTAAAACATACAGAATATATTAATCTTGAAAGTATTTTTAGGCATTAAATTCTAACGAACATTATAATTTTTTATCACTTCACGTTTAACGTGTAATTTTTAAGTTAGGAAAAAACTTTAAATACATATTCAGAACTGATATATTGTAACTGAAGATTGTCAATCTCTATTTGCTAGCCGCTATATTAATCAATCACATCATTATCGGATAACCATTACCATAAATTTTCCAGCAGGGTTTTGTTCCAATATCAGGAATGAAGATACATGTATAAACTCCATTTTTGTTTGCTCAACAAAATATCATTAAAGGGTTAGATCAGTTAGGAATTATTTATATTGTAACCACGCTTTATATCACTATCACTATCACTATCACTCACAAAATTAAATATTTTAATTAATAAAGAAACTTTACTATTGAAATAATTAGCTAATCAAGTGTGCCTTAACATATAAATAATTAACTATTTCTTAAATGATCATCCTCTATTTGAAGTTAGTTCAACGGTGTATCAGTTTTTCTAGTTCCTTCCACCGGTACCCAAAACTATTATTGACATTTAAGAATGCAATTAAACGAATATCAATGCTTGACAATTTAGTTAACTCAAAAATACACTGCGTCAATGTAACACACAGATATTGGACATACAAAATCTATCTACTGCGGCATCGGTGGCCACAGTATTGGCAAACGTATTTCCGCGATTTCGATATACCTCCAGACGCTGCCAAATTTCTATGTCTTCTATACTTCCGGGGTGCTTTCTTAGCAGTCCTTTTCGGAGCTTGGCGTAAGGCAGTAGGCGTTCGTCGCTTTTGCACATTGCCCGCGCGTCGGACCGACGTTTCCTTTTTGTCTCTGATCTGCTGAATGACGCGCGACCCCTTGGCTGCTACCCCGTCCCTGGATGCCATGTCCACCCCGCTCCCTTCTGAATAAGCGCTGGACTCGGATTCGTAAGAATTGGAACGCGCATTCTGGTCATCGTCGTCCACATCCTGTCTGGAGTTTTGGCTCCCCGCTCCGATTTTACTCGACGACGCGTTGCTACCCTCTTTCTTCTCATCGTCCATCATAAACTTCTCCCAAATGTAGCTGAAAATTTTCGATGTGTAAACGTTGTCAAAAGTGTGAAAGCGTTGAAGTGTTGAAGTGTTTTCTTTTCTGTTAGGTAAATTAGTAACAAATACGCTAAAGTCATTTCACGAATAGAGGTTTTATATGACTGTTATAATGTTAGAATACTGTCATATATTTGAAGAACTTTTTTGATACAGGTTAAAAAATAAAATGGTGTTATATCTATTATATCGATTTTCCCTTACAGGTATCTAAATGTTTATAATTAATAACTATTCCGGCTAGTTATAGACTATAGTAAGAATATAGACTATATCACTAATAAGTCTGGAATCGTCAACTTCTATGGCAGATTAAATTCACATTATAAAGTGTAAGGGAGTTTCGCAGTCAAATTCGGTGCACTGAGGTTAACAGCTCTTTATTTGCAACAAAGTACAAATACAATTTAAACTCAGGATAATTACGTGGACACAGTGAACGTTAGCAGAGCGCGCGTACGGAAAAAGAAGAAGAACGTATGACAGACAATACCCGTATTTATTTTAAATTCAAAAAGTAACGTTCGCGCGCCCGCTCTCAGTTGCCATATAAATGGGAAATATAAACACTAAATACAGATTATGTTATAATCAAAAAAACAAAAATAATAAACTAAATTAATAAAATATTACATAAAACTTAATTATACAAATTAAAATTGTAACGCGCCGCCTACAAGCCCCACCCTAGTGGCGCTTTAGCGGCACTCATCAACCAAAGGTACCAGAGCGACGCGTGCAGCCGATCGTTTAAAGTGCCAGACCTCGCTTTAACCGCAACCATTCAGACCCTACAGTCTTTCCCCGGAAACACTTGCTTAACGATTCCTCGAGGCCATACATTACGAAACCCGTCTGGTTCGATAAGTACGACAAGATCCCCTACTTTTAAGGGTCTCCTTTCTTCCTGCCATTTTTGCCTGTGAATCATAACAGGCAGAACTTCACGGACCCAACGCTTCCAGAACATGTCGGGCAGTTTTTGTGATATACGCCATTGCCGTCTGAGGTAAAAGTTGGTGTCATTAAATGCTCCTATAACGGGTAAGTTAAGTTGGTACGTATATCGCCAATCATGAATTTGTGTATGCTCATCAATTTCATCTAGGCGATGAGCCACGAACGCTTTGTAGTTGCGCCCGTTATTGCGTATCCAATATAAGACTATACTAAAATCGCTCCAAAATATTCTACGGTGGGGCTGCATTTTTTGTTCACGCTTAATGGTGTTGGCTAATCGTGCCGCTAATAATGCTGCTTGTAATTCTAAGCGCGGGACCGATAAAGTTTTTACAGGTGCGATTCGACATTTGTTTGCGATAAACGCCAATAATATGCGGTCGTTATTTGTCCAACGCCAGTAGGCGACGGCACACATCGCTTTGGGCGATGCATCGCAAAATATAAATGTATCTGTAGGTTGTCATAGACTCCGATGTTTACGACATCGTTCATTGAATGCGTGTGAGACTGCGAGCGCAAGTTTCGCGTTAACTGATTGCTGCTTATCAGTGTCTCGCTCGCCCTCACGGCGGCAGTTGATTTATAAAACATGGGGATGCGCATTTCCCGTACACTGTTTAACAAATACAACCATTTTTGCCACTTTACAAATAATACCTCTAAAATAAAATCGTTCCAACCAGTATTGAATCGCCATGTGTCTTGTACTCGCAGCAACGTTTTTCTATTATCACGCCATGAAAAACTAAATGCGTTGCTATCTTCCGCTAACATTTTAATAACTTTTATATCCCCTGTAATTACGATCTTATTTTCCCTAAATCGCAATATTATGCCTAATAACGATTGCAATAAGTCGGGTCCTTTAAGCAGGTAATCATTTAATGATAACCCTTCGGTGCGGGCAGCAGCATCGAACACCAAGCGCAGTTTTTTCTTATTAGGGTTATCGACCCCAAAATGTGGCAAGTACAAAGTTTGAGATGTACGCACACTATTATTTATTTTTTCTAAGCAAAAAGGTGATTAATTCTATCAACATACCTGTATCCATATTCGTTGTTGCTTTTAATTTTCCTTTCCACTCCCTTCAATCTGGCTAAAGCCTTAGGGTAAGAATTAGACATATTACACTTAGGGTCCTTCCAAGGCAATCTGACGTACCATCTCCCGGCTATTAGCGTAGAAGTTTGCTCCAGACGAGCTACCGCAAGCAGGTCCTCGGGATTTTCGCGTGGCTTTAACGAAACCCCCATTGACTCAATAGAGAATGAACGGTGTATCTCCTCATGAATGTTGTCCCACTCGCGCGCGTTATCAATGTCAGGTGCTAAACATAAAGCAGAATAATTTTGGTTCACGAAGGCTGGCACTGGTACCCGACCGTGAACACACCACCCTAACGCAGTTAGGGAAGCACAAGGTTCATTAAGTTTACCTACAATAATTTGCTTAGGTCACAATAAATGGTAATTATCTTGCCCTATAAGAATTTCTGGTTTTCCTACATTACAACAAATCTCATTTTTAATTCTATTCAAATGACAATAAGATTGAAATTTAATCATTGAAAAATCTTGTTTAGGCAAAGACAATTCTTTCACACTTCGAGCATTTATACAAAACATATTTCCCTCTTTGTTCGTTACGCGCATAGTTTCGCGGCGTCCGCGCAACCCGATTCGTTCGGCTAACTCGGATCTTATCAATGATACGGTTGAACCGTCATCGAGTAACGCCGAGGTATTAAATGTACCGTTTGGTCCGGAAATGTTTAAAGGAACGACTTTTAAAAGAACTTTGCATTCTTTAACATTTACGTGAGTAACAATATCTGATTGCGATGACGTTTCAACCGTATGAACAGTCGGTGCACTACTTACCGCCCGTACGTTTCCACTCTTAACAGAATAATGTAATAACCCATGATGGTTTAGTCCGCAGTTATCTTTGTCACATGCGGCGGCCGGACATGTTTCTCGCCTATGGCGCGACATAAGACACTTATAACAAATACCTTTTAGCTTAACGTAACGCCACTTATCTTTACGCATCGCTTTTTTAAACTGTTTGCAGTCCGGTAAGTTATGCTTTGAGACGCGACAATAGTGGCACGTATCTCTCGCACTGTTTAAATCGCTTTACACTAATATATCGTTGCTTTGAAGCGCGTTGAATTCGTGTTGTCTTTTGTTTACGTGCGGCCGCGTAGTTATTAAACTTACACTGGATTGTGATATTTTTAGTTAAAAACTCGGATAAAATTTCCATCTTGGTCAATACGCGTTCAGTTACAAGTAAGTGACAATAATCGGCCCATTTGGATATGAGTAGTGATGGCAATTTCGATAAAATAATTGAAACTATCTGCATGCCTTGTAAATACTCGTTTCGACCTACGGCACGGACTGATGCGGTGAAGTTCTTTACTTTAATAGAAAACGGCACAATTTCTTTATGATAATCCTGTGACATAGGTTGCAGTTTCTTTATGTCTAATATAATACGGTGTAATATTACGTCCGGGTTACCAAATTGCAGTTCCAATGTAGACATAATTGTGTCTGGCGATGCTGCGCTAATAAGAAGCGCTGCTACGGCTTCTTTGGCGGCTCCGTGTAGGAACTTCCTTAACCGCCACAGATTTTCCTTTGTACTGAAATTACATTCCTCAGTTGACTCTTCATATGCTTGCTTAAACTGTAGCCACTCCATAGGGTCACCAGAAAATGCGGGTAGGTATCTTGGTGTACTTAAACGGCTAAGCAAGTTGGCGTTATGATCTTTAGACGGAGAAGCGGCTAGGCCCCTTATAGCAGTTGCCAACATTTCAACTGTCCCCTCGGCACCGGCGTCCTTTTTTACCGGTGAACAGTGCGTGCCCTTACCTTGACCATTGTCGCGGACACCCTGCATATCCAGCTCCTGTTGACTTCGTTCTAGCCATTTCTCGACCTTCTCTGTTCTTAGTTTCTCCGACGGTGGACTGTATTCTTCCTCTAAATCCGCTATATTCGCAGCTAACCTTTTATCGATTAGTTCCATTTGTATACGTGCCTTTGCTTCTGCTGCCTCCAGCTCCAGCTTTTTTCTTCGTGCTTGAAGTGAGGATGATGCGGACATCGGTAAAGAACCCTGAAGTGAAGCGGGTGCCGTAACGATTTTTTTAGGCAGTACGACGGTATCCGTTCCAATATTTACCAACTCCGACTTTATATCACCTCTTGCCCCTTTTTCACTGGTAGCTGGTATTGATTCCAGCTTACTCTCCTGATCTGCCTTCTTGTAAGAACTGCGAGTATGCACCATACTGCCTGGTGGACTGCGATACATTGGCTCTGATTCGGCTCGAAGACCAACTTGTAAGGGAGTTTCGCAGTCAAATTCGGTGCACTGAGGTTAACAGCTCTTTATTTGCAACAAAGTACAAATACAATTTAAACTCAGGATAATTACGTGGACATAGTGAACGTTAGCAGAGCGCTCGTATGGAAAAAGAAGAACGTATGACAGACAATACCCGTATTTATTTTAAATTCAAAAAGTAACGTTCGCGCGCCCACTCTCAGTTGCCATATAAATGGGAAATATAAACAGTTTCTGTGTGAGTGAACCACTAATTCATAATTTTTAAAATTGACGGTGGCCCAGGCTTACACTGGGACGTCTAATTGACATGACCATAAATCCTGTTAAGTGGAATGTTATTTGAAAATATAAAATTAATATCTTTTGATAAAATTAATATCTTTAATACAGGCGTCATCATATTCTTTACAGGCGATGACAGAAAATCGTATTGGATGAAAGTTGAACCAAATATTATCATAACATTGAATTTACATATATTCTTTCAGTTGAAATAGTCAGGCTTATGAAAAATATTGATATGTTGGGGCCGTTTCATTTCCCGTTATATTTTACCACTCCGTAGTGCACTTTGCGAAATTAAAAACGTTATATAGGCATCTCAGGTGCGTACTCTCGATTCACTAAAAGCACATGGCCGAAATGGATACACAAAGCACTCGATTGTTAAAATTAGTTATTTATTACAAGACTTGTGAGAGAGTTATTTGTTAAAATGGTAAATGTAAATAACTTTAACTCCGGCGTAATTCAATTAAATTAAATTTTAAACGTTAGAGATAAATCTCTAATGAATTAATCAACAAGCAGAATTCGGCGGTCGCTTATAGTTTTCGAGAAAAAAAAATATTTAAAACTTGTTTTTTGTACTAAGAAATCCACCATTTTATTTGTTTGACTTCAAAAACTCAATACACAGTTCTGCCAACATGATAAATATAGGAAGCGGGCGATATCATACACGTATCGATATTCCGATTTTATTAATTTAATGAATCACAGAACCGACACAGAGCGAATCCGACTCGGATAGATTAGGTTAGAAGGTTCAGGCGGTTCGGCGTTCAGTTAACCTTCGATGTTAGGTTTTTTTTTATGACCACCAAGAAATACGAGCTGAATTGACATATTGACAACAAAAAAATGGCGGATTTCTATAGTAAAAATCACACTATTTCATTATTTATTTTTTCGAAAACTAGAAGCGACCGCCGAATTCTGCTTGTTGATAAATTCATAAGTGATTTTTCTCTATCGTTTAAAATTTATTTCATTTGAATTACGCCGGAGTTAAAGTTATTTACATTTACCGTTAAAATATCTAAGTTACTTTGAAAAGTCTATTTCACACGCTAACAATAAAAGTTGTTTTGTCCATTTTGCAACGTTATAAAATGTTACAACCAAGCAGAACAAATACATAGTTTAATAATCTGGTCACTGGTTGGTATTGCGACTCGTAATCTGATGTCATATTCAAATCCAAGTGGCAAGACTGACAGGGCCATACAGCAGTCTTCGCTGTTGCATGAATGGGCAGGTCTAGGCAGGTGAAGTGGTAGTGTTCTTCTGCGTTTCGTTTGGTGATAGCCGGGGTCCACTTAATTGAAAGATGGCAATGCACTGGTAGCCCTACGGGTGTTGTAAATGCCCATGGGTGGCGGTTATGACTTAACAGCAGATGAACCAACAGCTCACTTGCCATCTTCTTACATGAAAAAGGCACCAATGACTTTCTGCATATGTGTAAAAAGCGAACCATACACTAAGTTATAAATAGCGCTGAGCGCTAGTTACGCACTACATGTTACATTTTACACTTGACGAATACCACCATTAGGAATAAGGAAGCCACGTAGCTGCTACCATGTGGAAAATTAAATCCGCTTCAGTGCTCATTCATCGAAACGGTTATATTACAACTTGAAAATGAGCATTGAAAATTTCTCCTTTCAAATTCCCTTGTCCGTTCGCGAATTGAAATGCGAATTTACACGACCCTTATTATATTATGGGGACCGGCTAGACTAATTGAATTCTTTGCGTTAGTGCAAAGTTTCCTCTCGTTAGCTCGAGTTAATTAGCACTTTGTATTTGCATTGTAAACTTGAGCAAATGGTAATTAATTTAAAAGTAGTTGAACCGTTTAAAACTTGCGAAAGATTCTTTGTACACGGCCTTAGTTTACTTTCGAATAGTTAGTAAAAAAGTAGAGGAGAGGAGAGAGTACACGTTATTTATGAATGAATATTTTGAATGAATGAATGAATGAATGAATGAATATGTATTTATATAGTTTCAACAAACACAGATATGTTAACAGTTAAACGGATATATAACTAAGGCATAAAACCCAGTAGTAATGACCTCGGCACGGTTTATCGATTTTCAATACATACCAAAAATTTTAATTATTAATAACAAAATAGACTAAAATTAACACAAAGCGGGTACATTAATTCAAGGTCTCATTTAAAAAAACAATAACATAATAACTACTAATAAAAATTTACATCTATAAGTATAAAGTAGTGAACAGAAAAGAAAACTACTACCAAAAAGAAATATAAAGCAAAAACAATGCGAACATCAAAATAGCTCTACGAAAACACCAAAGTCGCTAGTCGAAAATACAAAAACTATGACGTATTTTAGCCCTGTTGCTTACTATTTACTTACTATTTCTTACGAATAACGTATATGACCCGTGATAGCTCAGTGCCCGAGCACTCGCTTTTAATTAGCAACCTGAGTTCAAATCCGAGTATTTATTTTCTTTTGGTACTGAATTTGAAGCAACACTTGGGCACCATCTAGTTTGTTTTCTTTAGAAATTTGTTTTACAGCTCAGGACATCTACAACACCTTATGGCTTATGCGTTTGGAACCTTTACAAAAGTGGTTTTACCTCGCTCACCAGACGAAAAGCGAAATTTTAATACTTCTACTTCACGGTGGTCTTCTGTGAGGCCGTGGTACTTACACGGACGCGCCTGCCCATAGTAATTACACCTACCACAGTATTTACATAATTATATTTCACAAATTACACAGAGTTTATATTATACATATATTATACACTTATACAGGATATAAGCAGGTTGACTGTATTCTCGTAGTTTAGGAAAATTAACTTTCTGACGTGTAAATATTAATAGTCTCGTCACCATTTTGGATTCTGTTTCATTATTTATGATTGTATTCTTTATCTATAGACTGAAAACAATCCGACAATTTTAAGATAAGGATATCACGTAATGCACGCCTGTTGTATTAACTAATTAATCACGCAAATAATGAAGATGAGTTATGGCCGGCTGGAAGATGCTTTCACTAGATTAAACTTTGAACTAATAAAATTTTGCCTCTTTGGTCGGCCCGATTGCATTATCTCACGGTGGGCAAGATTTCAATGAAGTCTCTATGATGTCAGGATCATACTATCATGAAATATGGAACCGTTAGGTTATAAACCAAGTTCAGGATATGCTATGCATTGCAATCATTGGTAGCTTTTAGAAGATTTGATTATTATGGTAGTACTTTCTCATTTAGCATAATTATTAATATTAATATTTCAAATATTTTATACAAAGAACAATACAGTAAAGAAGTAAAGTAGTAAAGTATCAGCCTATACATGTCCCACTGCTGGGTAAAGGCTTCCTCTGTACAGAGGGTATCAGGGCATAGTCCATCACGCGGCCCCTTGCGGAATGGCGGACTTCACATATTATTTCGAAAATATGCTGGTTTCCTCACGATGATTTCCTTCACCGCTGAGCACGTAATAATTCAGCATTTAAAATTGACAATTCAATTGGGGATCGAACTCAGGTTGCTCAAGTATATTAAATTAAAGGCGAGCGCCCGAGCTATCACGGCTCATTAAAGAATACTAATTTTAATATTAAAGGAGATCAAACACGGTCAAAATAAAAAGTCTGCTTTTTCTATCTTACAAGTTATAATTGGTTTTTTCAGAAAGTTTTCCAGTTCTATTAGAGTTGTAGAGGCTGTCGAAGTCGTATGTATCTTATGAAGTCGTCAAGTAATTACTGAGCGAAAGTTCGAACTGAAAGTTTCCGTGCTAAATGTCAGCGCTTCAAATATTAATACGAAAATGTTATTTACCTCGACCATTCTCATTCAACTCCTCTTTCAACTCTTCTCTATAAATATGGTGGGACGGTGGTGTGGATGGGTGGCCTAGCCAGCACAAGAAAATCAACCTCAAGGCACAGGTCAATAAAGCTTATTTTCCCTTTCTCCGTTCATCTTATTTACGTACAAACAATGATATTATATAGAAATAAGATGTAGATAATTATGATACTAGCACTCGGAAACTAAGTCAGATGTAGTTGTATAGGATGTTACAATTTTTTTTTCTTTTTTAATGAGTTTGTTCGAAAATGTATTTTTTTAATTATGGATTTGTTTAGAGTTTTATATTTTTTTTTTTGATTATAGACGTGTGTTTATTTATTGTCGCGGTATAATGTGTTACCCATCGTAAATAACGGTTTCGAGTTCTAGTTAACTATGTCGTTGAGCATATACTGATTTGATGTTTCTGTTAATAGTTCACAATTTATTTTGTTCTTTTTAAATATCGAGTTGTTTTATTTGTCTATCACGGGGACATGAGCATAGGACATCACTGAATATTATTTACTTTTACCTTTTCGCCTGTGGCTCCGCCCGCATGTACTACATTTTATAGAGTTCTTAAAAAGCTTATAGTTCGTAGCCTATAGCCTTCCTCAATAAATGGGCTATCTAACAGTGCAAGTATATGTAAAGATATCTTATTTTCGGCCGTCCCATAACTACTAAAAATACTTTCTAGTGCGGTTTACATCGGTATCGGCCCGCCGCTTTCTCTGGTTTTTGGCTCATTTCCTTTTAAGCATATCCAGAAGTTGGGTTCAAGGTCATTCTAACAGTACAAAAAAAATTGTATTCATGTTTTCGCACATTTATAGCATTTTAATCATGGTGGGTCGAGAAAGAACCGCACTGGCGGAAATATCATTAGGGCCGTATTTCGACCCCCCGCCGCACCAGATGATGGTTTATGATTTTATGTGCCGATGCCTCAAATGACAGATTACAGATGATATAGTTCTGAGGTCAACGTGCATTGGAAGTGTCATAACTCTTCATTCTAGGGTTCCGTACGCAAAGGGTAAAACGGGACCTTGTTACTAAGACTCCGCTGTCAGTCTGGCCGTCTGTCACCAGGCTTATGAACCGTGATAGTAAGACAGTTGAAATTTTCACAGATGATGTATTTCTGTTTCCGCTCTAACAACAAATACTAAAAAACAGAATAAAAATATTTAACTTGGGCTCTGTATGTGAGCCCAAGTTATGTTTTTTTTGCCGTTTTCATAGATAATGAATGGTACGGAACCCTTCGTGCGCGAGTCCGCCTCGCACTTGAGCGGCTTTTTTTTACCTTATCTAGGTTACAATCATCATCATTTTGTAGATTATAATATATTATGTAGTTAACTATAGTTTCATCCAATTCCACTGTAGCAATTATATATTAAATCGCACAAATCTTCAATGTGGCTCTTTAACTTGATATAACTTTTTTTATTTATGAACCCAATAACAGTTTATCTCAAATATCTTCCATATTACAGAAAATGATCAGTAATTTTTTTATTAAATTTATAGAAAAATCATCGATATATTAATTGGTTAAAGAATTTAACTTAACCGTAATTTATTTCTTTTAGAGAAAGTATTTTTATGCTTTTCTTAGCTCTTTTAAGATTTATTGGGCCCTTAGCCCGCAGGAGTTTCTTTTAGAGGGCGCCTCCCTTGATTTTTATATTTTTAATTCTTACTTTTTTCTTACCAAGTATAATTACATTGTTTCTTAAAACAAAGAGTCTACCTACTAAGGTTCAGAATTTTTGTTATTAACTTGCCAGAACAGATATTGATAATCACTGGCAATAGGTTTCTTTTTTCGGATAATTTTTTCTTTCGCTTTCTTCACTTGTAATTAATGTTCCGATTTACAATATTTTATCAAGGCGGAATTGTATTTTACAAAATCAAAAAGTTGTAAAACCTTGCAAATTTTGCCCACGATAGTATGAGTGTATGGTTAGAATGGGTACAACACTTGAGAAAAAAAAACCTAATTTTAAATAACACATTTTTTTAATGTACATCAAATGCGATGTACTGCATAAGGGAATTCTTTATGGTATGTGGTCTATAAAAATTGATAAGAAATAATATAACTCATATGCAACATTTTCGTTTTTTTATTATAATTTAAAGTATTGTTATTTACTTCACTAGTACTTACAAATATGAATGAAATGCCTTTGTCAATATTTGTACAAATTTTTTTTGGTTTATCATTTATTACATTTTCCTCATTGTTACAAGGCACTCGTAAATTTTTGAATTATCCGTATTTAAAACTAAACATAATGTCGTGGAAAATGCGGCCATGATCAGCGGTATTGGCAAGCGACACCGCATTTAGCCGCATTATAGGTACATTTTTATTTTTATTCCTATTCCCACGTTATCTGTTACAGTGTACCCTCATGTACTTATGTATTTGTGTTTTTCTATACGTATATACAATAAATATACTTATTAATTTACAAGTATAACGTATTAATAATAAATATTTACAAATGTTCTGTGTATATTTATACCGTTTTCTTCAGGTATTTTGTTTGGACCAGCGAAAAGATTCTGCTATTAAACTAGCAGCAGAGTTGACTTACATAGCACGCTTTTAAGGATTCATTTCGCGTTTTATGCCATTCTGGGTTGTTGACTATAAGTTTTGAAACATACATGTACAGGGAGGCTTTTCTAACGGTATCCATTTTTTAATTAAATTCTAGACATAAATAACGTTATATTAAAATGATATATATTTAAAATCACACGTAATTAATTAATTACATTCATTTTAACTTATCTCAAAAAGTGCGTGATTTATGGGCAACTCATTTATTTTACGCGCGATCATTCATAACTAACACGCACACAAGTTCGTTTCAAAACTATACGACGCATTTATGAATGAGTACTGCATTGTCAACAAGTTCTGTTTTTTTGAAGAATAGAATGGCAGTTTTTCTTTCAATAAACGATTATACTACCGAGTCTGAACCTCCTGTGTCAATTTGGGCACGTTTAGAAAAGCCACCCTGTATAGAAATTGTCTATATGATGATTTGCTTGAAGGGGTCCGTCGTGGATATGACGGATGAGGAGTTGAGACTGTTCATCTGCGCCTGGTAAAGGACGTCGTTTATTAACTTCTCCGTCACTATCCTCATGTTGGGATGGAGGTTCCTCAGTTTTGCTGCCACGTTGATTCCTTAAAAGAAAGATAGGTATGAATGACAACATGAATGACCCACACATCTTGTAACGTTAACGGGTAATCCGTTATATATCCGATAAAGACAGCAATTATAAAAGTTTCGTCAATGGTATTTGTGGTCGAGAGCAGTTGCAAGCCCTCAAGCCTTATGTATTGCACAAGTCATCATAAAGTAAAGTAACAGCCTATACCTGTCCTAATGTTGGGCAAAGGCATCCTCTGTACAGAGTGTATCAGGTCATAGTCCACCTCGCGGCTTCACATATCTATTATTTCGAAAAAATACAGGTTTCCTCTCGATGTTTTCCTTCACCGCTGAGCACGTGATAAGAAATCAAAATTAACAATTACATTGGTGCCGGCATAGGGGATCAAACTCAGGTTGCTCGAGTATAAAATTGAATTAAAGCAGAGTGCGTGGACACTGAGCTATCACGGCGTTATCATAAAAAAAAATATAAACTCATAGATAACATTGGTTACCGCTTTACGCAGAAGGACCTTATAGTATTATAAAGCCTTGCTGTTTTTATGTACTAGAATTTAATATAAGAACTATACGATACGAATATACTGATAACCGACCAACTTAGGTTTCTTTTTTTAGGTCAAATTAGGTTTCTTCATTTCAATAGCAGCCAAAACTTTTATTGACAGTGCATTAACTAGAGAAAACATTAAATTCTTTTACGAATCGTTCCTACCAATAGCGTCGTATTCGTCCTCGATCTCGGTGCAAAGCCGTTTGCCGGACTTTGTTGTTTCGTCTTCAAAGTGGTACCTCTTGGACATGGGGGAGTTTCTAGGCAGGTCTATCATACTGTTATTAGCGTTGTACTCCGCGTAGCTCTCTACTGGAGGCTCAAAATGAGACGCCTCCTCTTCGCTGACATCGTTGGCGCAATCATCCGATTCCTAGAACGAATTTGCTCATAAGTCACCGACCTTTGACAGTAAGTTTATTGTAATCTGTTGATATTTTTTTATATCATCTCCATCGCTATTACAGACAATCAACTCTCGCTATTGTTAACCCATAGAGCGCAGACAGAGATGATTGTAGATCCACGTTCTATCTAGTGTTTCTTGATAGAATGCAGATTCTAGACTTAAACGTATTGAGTTAGTCACACACCGGTATACAAAAAAACACGGATTTTATGAAGAGAAATAAGATTACGTGCTCTACGAAAACATAAATGAGCATTGTGTATAAGGAGCAGGAATAACAGGTTAAGATTTTACACAAATAAGAAAACATTAGTTCTCTGACGTATTCCTTCGTTTTGATTCTAGATCTTTCAAGAGCTTTGAGAATGCCTTTACATTTGCACTGTTTTGAATATTGGATGATGGAAAATATTGCTTCTTATTAAATCTCTCTATCTAATTCAATCTTTAATAAACGAATTTCCATTGCATGGTGCAAAAAACAGCATTGGCCAAGTGTTTTAAGCAAATATCATTTTTTTAAAAGTCAGATTACGTTATTTACTCCGTTTAAAGTCATCTAAAATGTTGATAACATATCACCAATATGCAAAGATTTGGTGACTGATATCAGATGTGTCATGAAGATGGATACAGGTTTAAAGGCTGGGCCATCAATAAAGAAGTTGCCTGACGGTACTACAGGAAATTATGAGCTGCTCTGCTAAAGGTGATGCGCAAAAGTTTTTTTCTCGATCACGAGATATTCATTATTTAAATGAAATGGAGAACACTGTAATATGAGTAGAAGCAACGGTTATTTCAATTTATAATATAATACTGACAACGTCATAGAGACAAGTTGTAGAAAACTCAAAAGATAGGATCGGTCTAGGCAGGGATATTCCTTTAATGTTTTTTACGAATGTACAAACGATGAGATGAATAGATTTTCTTTACCAGGTGAAACCGAAAACGACCGAACAAAACCGTTTAGTTTCAAAAATTTATAAACTTTCTAACACAGTATACAATATTTTCTATTTTTTTATTGATCATTGCGTCAAAGCATCCATTTTCCTTTATTATTATGGAACTGGTTGTTATCCAAACTGTAAGACAATATTATCAAGTGCTAAAAGGACAAATAGAGATGAAATTAGCTCCTAAACAAAACATCCAAAATAAGTATCTACGTTCTATATAATTATAGTTTTTTACCACTTCTCGGCACATTCTCCCTCGTCCCATTAAGTGGGCATTATTTATCCGTCCGCCATAAATCATTTAGGAAGAAAGAAAGAACATTTTTTACATTATTTTCTGATGCATTTCGTCTGGTGAGTGAGGTAAACGCGAAATTTATTTTTTAATGGTTGGCAACGCATCTGCCATCCGTCAGGCTGTAGATTTCCATGGTTGGCGATAATCACATAACATTCCGAGGAATTGTTTGGATTGATCCCAGCGGCTGAATTTCACCATCGGACATCGCGCCAAAACCAAAAATTTCATCCACACCACCTTGATGTCCAGCGTTCCACAACAGCGCGATTTTCAAGGCATTTCCTGCCTCGCACAACCACTCTGTGGAACCAGCTGCCGCCGGCGGTCTTTCCGAACCGTTACGACCTGGGAACCTTCAAGAAGAGAGCGTACTCATTCCTAAAAGGCCGGCAACGCATTTGTAAGCCCTCGGGTGTTGCAGATGTCCATGGGCGGCGGTGATCACTTACCATCAGGTGAGCCTCCTGCTCGTTTGCTGCTTTATTCCCATAAAAAATAAAAAAAACAGGTGAATTGCCCGCTCAATTTAAAGATAGCAGATTTACTAAAACCGTTACTTCCAGGACCGCAGAGTAGTTTTAGTAAAAACGCATCGAAACAAACCTTTTTATTGATGCAGATTCAGAACTAGTTAACTCCATAAAAACTACACAAAGTTTTTATGGTACAAAGGGAATATGCGCTAAAAGAAATGAAAAGAAGTAACAAAATAATTATACATTTACCAGTCTGGGACTGGGCTGCCTACGAGTCCCTTATGCGGCCCCATCGCGAACAATAAATATATCACCGAATTGGATATGGATACTGGTATAAAAATTCCTTAAATTATTTTCTTTTTAGTATTGGTTCAAGCTATCTTGCAAAAAATGTTTAAAAAATTGTACCTACATATTTTAATAATGTTTGCAATAAATTGTTTATATGTAATTCAAAACTGATTTTTTTACTCTACCGCTGTTTTGACTTCTGGTACTATTACCATACAGTTCCTTTATTAAGGCGAATAACAAAATAAACACTAAAGACAATATTTACTGAATTAAATTAAAATAATTAAATAATTATTGAAGTGATTATGAAAAAAAATTTGAAATCCCGCTGATAAAGTATACATGTTGTCCTCATGCTCGGGATACAAAATTCAAGTATCGCGATTGTTTGTGCTTAAGCAAGGAGATCGTTGTTCATTAACTTTTTCATTGCGTTTAATCTATTTATTTAATCTTTAAGTTTCACGTATATATTTTCAACATTAAAAAATAATGGGTAGGTAATAATGGTAGGTGGGTTCTCTATTAGACCAAAACTAACAAATAGTACAAATCAATTAACACCAATCAATAAACGTTCACGTACGTGCGCGCCTGCTATTCGTTATACAGCAAGCAACACAAGTTTTTTTCACCTCGTTGCGATCCGGTGAACACTCCTTCGGCTTGTAACTAGCGCCGTCGTCGCCGAACACAAACGACAACATGTCGTAGTACCAGAGGTGCGGGGTGTACAGCTCGTCCGGATTCGCCGCCCGTCGACGGCTGTCTTGCACTCGCTTGTACTCCCTGCGAACGCACGCCCGCAAGCTCTCGATCTTCCGCAGAACGTGAACGCGCGTCGCCCCTGGATCGTGCTCCTGCACCAGATCAGTCAATTTTGATATCGCCTCGTGCCTCTTCCGCTTCTGCTTGTAAGCGGCGCACGATCTATCCCAGAGGCAGGGCAGCTCCCGATACATAGTCAAGAAACGCCTGAGCAATTTGCGCGGAAAGATGACGCTATTGTTGTCCGCCATCTTGTTTCGCGTTCGGCAAGCGGCGCGGCGCGCAGGTCACTGAACAGCGAACGTGCCGAGACGGTTCGGCTCACGATTGAGCCCCTTCCCCTCGCGTCTCCACCTTCAGTAAAACGCCAAAACAACCGACATGTGTAGTTTCTATAAAAACAACTAAAAATTTACTACATAACTGTAAGCTTTAAAAAATTTATTATATGAAGCACTTTTTGTTTAATTTTTAAAAAAATGTTAAAAATCGTTAACGAAATGTAATGAAATAAATCTATAAAATTACTGACCATTATTATTGAGGTATAAATTATTATACAATTAACATGCATTTACATTTACTCATGTGCTCATTTAATCTAAAACAATCGTTCACCGATCCTGGACGTAGAGATAAGTAATTAAATTTGTTTCGTTATTAAAATTGTTCGAATTTTGTTTCGAATTGAATTATATTAACCAGTGTTATACATAATGAGATTTTAATGAATATGAAGATAGATATTGCTTTTTACGTAGGTATTTTGTATTTTTTCTTGGTTTCTTTAATTGAGAGATTTGTCTTAAGTTTTGGATCTTATTATACTTTGTACAAGTCCATTTGGTTACGGATCTGTGCTTGAAGCGTACCTTGAATTAAAATCGTTTTATGAGTATAAAATAAGTCTATATAATTCTGTATTTTTCCTCTTCATATTGATTATTTTTAAATCACATATTTATGTATCGTAATTTTGAAAATCTGTTTAAAGCAAAAGCTTGTTACGATTGTATAATGATAACATTTGGAATTACCGATGTAATTTAACCGAAGCGAAGATAAACAAATAACGCCTAACAAGCTACCAATAAAAAGAAGGAAGCCAAGATTAGTTTTAAAATTAATGTTCCGATTTATATTTATAACTTTAATTTTATGCTTTCAAAAATATCTAGGCTCCAGCTAATTTTTTTTGTGAATTTAACGGCAAATAAGATTTTTTAGGTCGATATAGAGTTATTTTATATTATTTATAATTAAATTTAACAATTAAAAATGCAACCGGGATAGTTGGATTTTTAATTAATTGAGATGAATTAAACGAATAAAATGATTCAATCATAGATTGGCCTTCACTCACCGACACATGTGTGGTAGGGTGGCCCACGGTCTTCGCTAGGCACCTACTCATATTTAAAAAACGTATATATATATATATATATATATTTTCAATCGGTTAAGTTTGTATAGTAAAGTTTCTATCGAAGGATACGAATAAAAGCGTAGGGATATTTACATATGTAAGAAGTATTACCTTGAAAACATTGCACCAACAAAGCTATTGTCGGGGGATACGTGAACGGATAAAAGCGCTAGAACATTGCTGTAGGTAAGAAGGTAAACTTTGAAAATATGGGGCGATCATCCGAAGTAATATTCGAAGTATGTTTTGCAATATATTGCAGCAAAGTAAAAAAGGCTGATATAACGACGTCGATCCGATTGGCGTAATGGAAATTGTACCTCTACTTTGCGCCATATGGTATTTGTTTTTTTTTTCATACGATAATTTTGTTAGTGAGTAGGTGGTTCACTTGATGTTAAGTTATTATCGCTATCTATTGATCTCTACCGTTCTCTTGGCATGGCAGATTTCTTCTCAACAGAAACTGCTTTCCAAACCGGTGGTAACTTACGAACATATTAATTTCCTTGTAAAATTTCGACGTTTCATAAGAACGCGCAAGCGTCTATGTGAATAAAGATATTTTATTATTATTATTATTATAGATGCATTACCAACTTTCACAAAGTTGGGTCCCGGCTACCTCACTCACCAGATGAAACGAAATAGTATATAGTTTATTTAGTTATTATTATATTGCTAGAGTTTTGTTATATTATTATTTATTATATATGGTAATTTTTTTCAATTATTTTTCTTTTTTTATATTGTGATTCGGACTCTTGTTGAAATAAATTTATTTCAATACAACCCTTCTCAACTCTTTTCATCCTTTAACTTGTCAGAGTAAAAGATCTTTATTCAGAAATCTCCATTTCTTTTTATTACGACTGCCTTTCTGTTATCGGAATGTATAAGTTGATGGAAGGAAGTATTTTTCATTTTGTCACACCTGTCCTAACTTTCCACGTCGCTACTTCGCTATAACAGTCCTCGTAAACTTTACGTATCCAATTTTATGATCTTATTTACGACATTGAATCAAATTGAAATACCATCGGTATTCAACTATCGTTTTCGCAAGGGAGAAATTCCTTGCGAGGAACTGATTTCTATTGAACTTTTCCATTGAAATCCATCCACTATTACGATGAAATGTATAAATATGCTACGTTATTGAATCTTTACAAATTTACCCTGGATTTAATTGGACCCTTCGTCCATCGCTAAATCAAATTTTAAGTTACCAAATCCATCGTTGTACGCCCTACCATACATAAGTAGGTATATAAATAGAGACATAAACAAGTCACTCAATAATCAACCAAAAAGCTCTAATCGTATTTTGTGTTATATTAACCTATTATTTATCATTCAACAGACACTGTATAAATAAATAGAACCTACTTGTTAAGACGTTTCTTGAACATGTGGCGACACTGCGACGTTACTCAAACTTGTTTAATACTTTTTCAATCCTGGATTAGCTTAGTTGTTGTATGCATGTTATGGTTTAAGAGAGTCATCATAATCATAAACGTGTTTGTGGCCTTCTATATTGCGATCTCTTATATACAGGACATGAAAAATCAGAGTAAAGGAACATTTAATGGAAACAATTAATTTAATGGAAATAGAAAAGGAGCAGATGGTTCGCCTGATGTTAAGTGATCACCCTCGTTTCATACATTGTTCATACATTTGCAACACCAGAGGAGTGATCTTTGGACTGCCCCAACAAATATATAATGGTTATAGCGGTCTATAAAAGTCAAACACTCAAAAAAGAGCAGAGGAGTGACCTTTTGGACTGCCCCAACGAATATATAGTTGTGGCGATCGATAGAAGTAAAACTCTCGAAAAAGAGCACGGATTCCCCTCCGAGGATGTTCGCGATGCTAGCGAAATAAAGAAACATCCTAATTCAATGGAGAAGATGGTCCGAATTTATCATCAGCTTATCATCCTTTAAACTTTTGATTGGACTAAAATAAATACACCTTGTGATTAAAGTAATGTAAAAAGCGTTTCAATTACTGATACAAGCGGTGGTAGATTGTTTGTTGACGTTCAATAAGAGCTTAAGGTAAGCCTATATTGAATAATACATTGACTTTGACTTAGGCATTGGATTCTCTTTTGTTTTGAATATAGCTTCATGTAACCGTAAATGTATTCAAAGTTCGACAGGCTTTTAGTAACGATTTGAGTGTATTAAGATTTCTTAAGTAAATACAATTTCGTTTTACAGGGCGGAAATGGTAAACAGCTTGTTTAGATCAAACAATCTATGTTATAACTCAGACGTTTAATTAAATTTGTATTGCAAAATTAATAAAATATAATTGCGCAAAGCTTATTTATTTATTTGTTCAATGTGATTCTTTCTAAACCTATTTCAGTCAACTCCTTTCAACATTTATTTCATCCTGAAATAAACTTTGTCGACCTTAGTAGTATTTAAATTAGTTAATGTTATTTATTACTGTCATTTGCTGACAAGATCATACTGTGTATTAAAAAGCAAATTTTGAAAAACCCAAAAACAGGCTTAGTGCAAGTCGGACTCGCGTACGAAGGATTCCGTTATCTATTAAAATGGCTAAAAATCATGTCTGTTGTCTGGGAGCCACACTTATGGAACAGAAATACATCATTTATGAAAATTCCAACTGTCTAACTATCACAGTTCATGAGATACATACAGCCTGGTGACAGATAGACAGACAGTCAGATAGATAGATAGACAGACAGACTGACAGCGGAACCTTAGTAATAGGGTCCCGTTTTACCCTTAGGTCACGGAATCCTAAAAATGCGTACCATGATCTTCCTAAAATTTTATTCATCTTTTTTTGAAAGTGAGTTTTTTCAACTTTGTTCAAAGAACATTTTGCACATAGTCAACGTCAACAAACACGATATTTGTTACATTTTTTTTATTTACTACATGTTTTAACACGCGAGTGAACGATTCGGATTTTTTTTTGACTCGGGTTACTCGAGTTGATTTGGCTACTGACTCGAATCGCAACTCGAATCCTCGAGTCGAGGCTAATTAGATAGGAAGTAATAATTTGGAATCTATGGCTGCTACTCGAGTCGATTCGCAACTTCGTTTGTGGTCTGAACTAATCCTCTCCTTTTTCTATACACCTCGACCTCGAACAGTGTCCGACGGTTGGGATTTCAAAGACAAAATTTACAATCAATTGGCACTAGTGTGCATTTTATTTTGAAAATCAATCAACAAAGGGTATATTATTCCAGCGCAGATCTCAACATCGTGTTTAAGAAAATACGACAAAAAAATACCGCCATCTATCGCCTCAAAGTCGTACTTATAAAATGTAATTGTACATAGTCGATTGCTTATCGAAAATAAAGTTAAAAAAGTTTCTGTTTTTACAGCAAAGAATTCCCACGCCACACTTCTGTTATTTGACGTCGTTACAAACAAAACAAAACAGATCACTAACAAATCAAAAATGTCAGTTCGCACGCGGACCGCCAACGGCCAACTAATAAAATCAAATAACAAAATGTCAACCAAAAAACAAAATAAACTTTTAAAGCGGTTTATCATTTGCGCAATTCCGTTTCCGATCCTAGCCGAACGAGCCCGACTCAACCCGAGTTCTATTCGAGTTGATGCGAGTAAGATGCAACACCTTACGAACGGCGCGCGCGCGTGAAAAGTAACTTTACATTTCATTCAACTCGAGTTGATGCGAGTTGATGCGAGTTGCAACGCCTAACGAACCGCGCGCGCGAGCCGCGCTTGTAACTCGGAACAACTCGTGAGGCCCCCGCGTCCGGCTTGCATTCGGACGACCGAGTTG